ATATGGAGAGGGCGGGCCGCCGCCGCCGAGGGGGACAGCACCAGCAGAGCAGCAGCATAGGGCGCGCGGGGACGCGCAAAACCGAGCAGCCCCCGACCGCGCCAAAATGGGATGACACAAATCGACTTAGGGGGCGTGGCGTCGTCGTCGTGCTGCGGCCGCATAACACATGTGTGTGTGTGTGTGTGTGTGTGATGCTAAGCACGACTATGCACGATAGCAGGACGAGGACTAGCGTCACTGTACCTTCCCCTACCCCACCCAGCCCTGCAGAGTGTAGTTCGCCGCCAATAAGATGAACGAGTGAAGGAGCAAGTCATATCCTCCTCCTCCCTCTGGCCTCCCTGCTCCTCCTTCCCGCCGCCGCAGCACAGCGGACGCGGTCCATCACACGGGGCCATTATGTCCATTACTCGCGGACACGACGAGAGAGGCATGAGCTCCGCTACATTATTAGGAGGACCTCATAGTGTCACCATGAAGCTACCTTGTGTGTCGCAGGCTAGCCTCTGGTCAGCTGGTCGCGAGCCGCAGGTGTCACTGGCCAACAGCAGCAGCTGCTTCTGGCAGGAAGCTGCAGGCGCGCTGGCAGGTCATGTCACAGGTGCGCGCGCCGGCGCTGGTCGTGCTGCTGCTGCTGCGCTCCGCGTGCTTCAGGTCGCCGCGCGCGCGAGTCCCACGCGCCGCTCGTGTGGAGCTTGCGCCCTAGCCTCGCTGCCGGTCCGTGTGCTCGCCGCTCGACGCGTCGCCCGCGACTGGGAGAGCGCCAGCGCCAGCGCCAGCGCCGCCGCCACCGCGCGCCGCCGCCGAGAGAGGGAAGTAGGGGGCGGCGTGGGGGCGGGGGCAGGGGCTGGGGGCGGAGAGGGGGCTGGCAGACCCGCCACCAGCTGACAGTCTCTCTCACTCGACGCCTCTCTCTTCCGCGCATCCTCTTCTGTCCCCGTCGCCGCCAGGCCCCTCTCCTGCTGGCTGCTGCTATGCTGCGCGCTGCCTGCTTACTACTTGCAGTCGTTAAAAAATGTTTAGACTGGTAGAAGCGAGAATTAAAAACCGATTCGATATACCTGACGCGCGCGAGGGACGGCGGCAGCCACTGCCGCGCAGCCGCCGGCGAACAACATTTCGCTCTGTTTTTGCCGTCTCGCAGTGCGAGTATGTTGTACGGCCCCGTCCTAGATTTTCCTCTTCCTCCTCATCGAGCTAGGCGAGGTTGACCCCGTCGAGGATCGCCCCGCGCGGCCCACTGCTAGCCAGGCTTCTCTTCCCCTGGGAGTGGCTATGACTGCCACGCCTGTGGACCCTTCGCTTCCCCCTCGCGACGCCGCGCCGGCCCCTTTTGCGCTGGCCCCAACCCCCGCCCCCTAGCCCCCCAAAAGCGGTCAGCGAAGAGGCCCATGGCAGAGGCCGGACACGCGCTCGGGCCGCTCTTACATACACACGACCAGATCACATCAGTGCGAACCCTCTTCACCGGGACCCACATCAAACCGCTCGCGGGAATATATATACTGTGCCCGGTGACGCGGAAGCGAGGGCGTGCGAGTATGCGTGGGAGCGAGAGCGAGAGGGAAGAAAGGGGGAGAGAGAGAGAGAGAGAGAGAGAGAGAGAGAGAGAGAGAGAGAGAAGGAAAATCGAGAGGAGAGAGAGAGCAAAAGAGCTAGAGAGCGAGAGAGGAGATATGGGGCGTATAAAAGAGGGGGTGAGGATTTTCCAGCGCGGGACATTAGTTTACATACCGTGTCAGTGTAACCGGAGTGGAGGAGAGAATCCTCTTGTGATCAGAACCCATGGCCAACCCCGCGCGCCTGAATGGGGGAGCACAGCAGCACCCCTGTCCCGTCCATTCTGCTGCTGCTATCGAGAGGGTGGTGGTGGGACCCGCCCGCCGGCTCCAGCCCAGTCCACTTCACTCCCATCACGGCGCCCGGTGTGGCGTGGACGCGCGTGTGTGGACTTTAATTGTGTGGAGTCCGGCCTCCGGCCGTGAGGAGTGGGAAGAGCCACTCCGGGCCCGAGCGCCCGTCCGGACCGGTGACAAAGGGGCCACCCTATCAAAACCGCAGCGCCACGCCACGCCACACGCAGCGGTCACTCGCATACCAACTAGTACCGCCACGCGCCCCCACCCAGATCGATGTGTGTTTGCGCGACCGCTAATAGCGCCGCTATGCGTCACTCAAACATAAAAAAACAACAACAGTAAAACGATTAAAAGATATAGCGACGGCTTGCAATTTGCACCAGCATGTTTACAATTAATTGGCATTCAGATTGTATCGGAACTTGACGTGAATGGATTTGTTTTTTTACAAGATATATTGTTGGGTAGGATTCGTAATTTACCGCAGCGTCATATTTGTGCGCTATAACGTAAGTAGAGGCTGGTCAGGAGGAGATAGGGTAAGATATGATAGCGGGGCGCACATTGATAGTGGGGAATGGCCCTGTATCAGAGCGTTCATCACACTCTATTCACCTTCCCCATGGGATGGTGGGCGGGGGCGGAACCAGAGAGAGATATGGCCTTGGCACACAGGGGGGGAGGGGGAGGGAGGAGTGGGGCACCACTGAGCACCCCTCCTGCGGCAGGAGTTAGGATTTCCACTAATAAGCTTAGCAGCAGCAGCAGCAGCAGCGGGCCCGCGGGGCGAGAGGCGTGGGGGTGGGCGCCAAACGTTTGACTGGGGTGTTTGGATAGGATTGCATAACCATGGTGGTTTGTCACCGCTGGCGCTGGGCGCCCCCAATAAGCGCCCAAAGCCTGACGGACGAGAAGAGAGTAAAAGCAAAGACAACGACTTGACATGCACAAAGCTCCCCTCGTGCCCTTCAACAAAATGGGGCATTTTCGTTTTCTTCAAAGTCAGACAAAATAGCTGACACACTTAACTATGATCTGATCTGTATTGCCACTGTCATTCAAACACTGTAACGTCACATTTATAAGACGTGTCACATTGGTTGGCATACTGTTCTATACCACGTATGTTATAATATGACGAAGGTACACCAACCATGCACTAAAGGAATGAAAGTGGTATGTCACGTCCTAAACGAATGTGACATAATGAATATAATAGTGTGTACAGTTTTTATGATAACATGTGGTGAGCAAAGTTCTCTATCTCCCTTCCTCCACTTCCGTTGTGGAAACCAACCATTTTCAAAACAGGCCAAAATCGTCCTGGAAAGTTGAGGTCGCAAATACATTTTATCTTAAATTGTCGGGCAGACAAACTGGAGTTTGCTGTTTTGTTGTTGTTGTTGTTGTTGTTGTTGTTGTTGTTGTTGACTTTTCCCAGTTCAAAAAATAAATACAAATGAATGGGATTAGTTTGTATTCTGGCCGCGGCGCGGACTTCCCCCGAGGCTCTGGAGCAGCGCTGCTCCTGTGCCGGGCGGTGAGCCGCGGCCTTGCTCTTTCCTTCCTCCTGCGGCGGCCGGCGGCGGCCGCTGACCGGCAGACACGCACGAGCCCTCTGCTCTGATTAGTACCGGCCGCATGGTTCGATCTCACGGCTCGCGACGCTGATATACGCGGGCGGAGCGTCGCCAACACACAACTTTTATAGCAGCTCAGCCCTCTCCTCTCCGCCCAAGTTTTCGCCTAGCAGGCTCCCCCACTCATTTCACGGCGCGCAGCGCCCCGCCCTGGAACACCACCCGATGTGTATTAGCCATTCATCGCCCAAAGCGATTAATCCACATTATTCATCAGCCGGCGGGATTGCCTCGCCGTCGGAGCCGTGGTGGGAGCCGGTGGAGCCCCCCGAGGCGAGGGGTAGGGACGTGTTCGAGGACGCCGCTAGGAGGCGGTGGCGCCACCTGGCGGCCGGCTCCACAAGCGCACCGCGCAGGCAGCTGCAGCTCCCCCCGCCGGCCGCTAGAGGGCGCCCGCAGTGCGCCGCCGCCGCACGGCAGGGGAGAGAAACGCGAATGAGAAAGATAAACGGAGGGAGGGAGGAGGAGGAGCAGGAGGGGAAAGAGAAATCGTGTGGCCCAGTGCTCAGTGCGGCAGCTGTATACTCCGCTCGCCGCACTCGGGCCCTTTCCGCGCGGGAGACCCGCGAGAGATCGCGGTGCAGGACGCGCAGCCGAGGCCGGAGTCGTGACCCCTGACCCGCGGGGCAGCGGGGTGCTCGACGCAGAGGGGGCAGGGCGACCGCCCGGCGAGGCGGGCGGCGGTCGTGGCCGCGGCCGGCCGGGGCAGCGCGACCGCGAGCGGGCTGTACCTCGCGGGCCGCGGATAGCGGGGTGCGCTGGGGCGGGCCGCGCCGGCACGGCACGGCACTAGCCTTGATGCGCAGTGAGCTATGTCGCTATGTCTGACACTGGCGGGGCTTGCCGACTGTAGTAAGATGGTACAGTCGTGTTCACAAGAGGGCGGAACATACACACACACACAGACCTACGGGCGCCGAAACGGCGCACACGTGATCAGTACAGTTCGCGTTGCGTCGCAGCTAGAGGACTCTGCCCTGTTTTCCATGGCGTTTACAGAAGCAAAACCTGACAAGAACAAGTCAGAAGAGGCTCCGCTGTGTGCCGTGTTCCGGCCGGCTCTCTGTCAAAAACAGCGTCCTAGAATGAGCGAACGATCCAAGATGTCAGATGTCTGAGGGTTTCTTAGAATATGTTCGCGCGGTATAAGATGCCTCGGCTGCATGAACGGCAAAATGGAGCATTAACGCAAATCCTTTGATGTTTAACATTCTTTTGAAGGACCATTTTTTTTGTAGGCCGCGCCCTCGCCCGCGTTACAGCCCCGCCTGCAAAGTGTAACGAGTTGGCAAGGGTCCCATTGGTTGGGTGGCGAGGGGTCGAAAGCCGTGTGGCGGTGCCAAAGAACCGTCACACTCACATCACATATACACACACGCGCGCGCACACCGTACTTGCAAAACGGGCAAAAAGTACCATTGCGTTTCTCACAAGCCGAAGCCCGACACCAATACACCCATTTATCGGCTAGAACTCTTCCACGAATGAAAGACAGATACGACGTCTCATACTCGCACAGAGAATCGGGTGGTACTTTGGTCCAGAAAGCGAGGCAAAGGTCGTCACGGAGACAGGTCTCCTCCAAAGCTCGAGCATTTCTGAAAAGTATTCCATCGAAGAGTGAGGCCCTTTTTTGGTCGGGTCGGGTCTGTTTCCTGCCGACCCGAGCTGTTGATGGCCCACCTGTCCCTACCTGCGGTGCCGGGGCGCTCTCAAGCGGAGAGCACCGCCTGGCTGCCTCATCGACATGGAGGGCGCGCCATGGCGGTACACTGCCACACATTCTTTTTATTATTTAAAAACAAATCAAACAGCAACGTACAGGGTGGCCTATCGGCGCCGTTCTTTCTTTTGGTTGTCCTGAACTGGATGCAAGCGTGCGCGTGGGCTTGCCTATCGTCGCTCACCGAGGCACCTGACAAAACAGCCCCGTGCGCGTATGCTATCCGCCCGCACGCCTGCATCCGGTACAGTATAACCATAGGAAAGAACGGAGCCGATGGGTCACCCTGAGTGAGTGCGCATAGCTTTCACGCCAAGCCCAAATTATGCAGCACCAAACAATTCAGCTGCTCTCTTACCGCAGGTAAAACGACCGCCACGACACAGTACGCCTGTGCCTGCGGTCGGTACGCCCTAGACTTTTACATAGTTTTTATAGAATATAAAACGATGCCAGGACAATTTCTGAAAACGTATACACTATTGTTGAGATGGGAATAATTCCAAATCGTACATCATGATTTGAA